GCTATCTCTTTTATCAATCGTTATCAAAAAACATCGCTTCTCATCCGTAATTTCAACCCCACCGATAACCCAAACACTATTCATCCTTCGTTCATGATTATATTTACGTCTACTGAATTTAGATTCATCAACTTACACTATTACATCCTTACCACCTATCTTATTCGGTTCATCTTTTAACGTATCAATTACCAACTCTCGAAAAAAATCTAAATAATCTGTTATTGTGTTAGGCGAATGATCTGTCATCTTTAATATCGAACTAGTAGAAACTTTTGCTAACCAAAAATATGCGATATACAAAGTATTATCACATTTTAAATGATTATTAGAAAAAAATGAATTTTTAAATATCGAAACAGATCTTCGACATCATTTATTTTTACATCGAAATCTTTTATCTTCACGAAAAAAATTCATATTGTTACATTTCAAACAACTTATTGGTTTTTCTAAAATATTTTCATTAAATAAAAATTCGATAGATTTACTCTCGTTTAAAAAAATATCTATCAATGATTTGTATTTTGGAAATTTTGACATTATATTTTTCTTCTTAAAATATTGCTTAACATTTATTCATACGATGATTAATAATAAATAAATAATTTAATACATAATTTTAATAAAAATTTTTTCAGAAATGTTATCTTCTTCCACATTATAATAATCAAAATAATAATAAGTACTAATTTGTTTAATTACACTATTTTTATGTAAAATAAAATAATAACCAACATCATCTTTTAATTTATAATAATCTTAATACCATCATTTTCTGATTTGATTTCCTCAAATATTTTATCATCAAAAAAAGCAATATCAGATTTATCGATATCGATTGTTTGATAAACTTCTCTCTTAATAAATTTACATTTAAAATCATTAGTTAAATTAAAAATACGGTTATTCAAAATTAAATAAATACATATTTTTCCATCTTTGCTGCGAAAATCATTTAATTGATAACGATTCCAGTAAAACTTATATAATAAATTATTTTTAAAATAAAGTCTCGCATCTGATTTAATGAGAAAAGATTCTGTCCTGTTGGAATTTTTAGTTATAGAATATTCATAACCATCATATTCATCAGTTCCATAGTGTAATTTAAATCCATCCAAAGAACAAGGTTTATCATTATAAAATAAAGTTATATAATACCAATCAAATCTCCCATCATCCTCACATAAAGTATAATTTTTTTTTATCGATTTCAGAAATATCATTAAAAATTATCAATTCGCCCATTTTCTTTAATATTCTAAATCCAAAATCCTTCTGTTTTTATAATAAGAATAAATTAATAAATCATGACAATAATGGATATGAAAACATGGATTGAAAATTATTTTCATCAAATGCTTGATGGATTTGATGGTCCTTTATTAAAAAATGTTTGTATTCTTTAAATTATATTTTATTATCAAAACAATTATTAATCAATTTTTCATATAGATGAAGATAATAAGCATATCTAGCGGTATGTTGAAGAGCAAAATAACTGTCCAATCAAATCATTTGAATCATATGAAAACAGCACATGGTGGAATATTCATGACATTGATTGATATGTTTAAATCTCTCGTGATAGCTTCAGAGGGATTAAATTATTCCTCTGGTGTTAGTACAAATATCAATATTTCGTTTACAAATCCTGCAAAAGAAGGCGATGTTTTATTCATAGAAGCAGAATGTGTAAAATTTGGCAAAGCTATAGGATTTGCTAATATAAAAATATACAATAAAGATAACAGAAAACTAATAGCTCAAGGTTAACATGTTAAATATATTATGATTGCATTGAGACAATCAGAATCAAATCGAGCAAAAATTTAAATTTTAATTCTGTTTATTATAGTTATACAATATCATTTTAATAAAATTCACATGTATTTTATTTATATTGTTAATAATAAAAACAAATAAAAAAAAAAAAATAAAACATTAATCACAATCGTATAACAAATAATTTTCTGCATATCCTCTCAAATCTGAATAAGTCCATATATACTTTATAAAATATTCTTTACAAATTTCATTAACCTTTTCAAACCAATACTCGAAATCATCTTCGTAACCTCGCTTTTTCCATTCATCAAGATCATGTGTATTATTTAATATACTATATTTGTATCCTTTATTTAATATATAAAAATACGATCTCGTATGCGATTCTAAAAATTTCAGAATTGTTATTAATCTTTTATTTTTCGTAGTTTCATTAATCTTAAAATTTGCTTCGATAATATGATTTTCAATTAAATATTTTTTAAATTCTCCATATTCAATAAAAAAAAACTACATTTTCAATTTTGAATTTATCAATCAACGATAATGATTGACTTTCTTGTTCAATCTCTACATATAATGAATCAATATAAATTTTTTCATTTATTGTGGAAATTGACCAGGATGGCCAATCCTCTCTTGTTTCATTTTCATTATAAATTTTATTATTTTTTTTAAAAATTTTTTTAATAAATTTTATCAAAGACATTTTAATTACATAATTAACAATATTTGTTTTCAAATCTATATAAACATTCTTTATCTATAAATCTTACTAGAAATATCAGAAAAAATACGAAATAATGACACTTTTCTAACGAACGCCTCTCTAGCTTTACTCTTAAAATTTCTTAAAATTAAACAATACCCATTATCCAAATTTCTAGTTTTCTAAACAACAACCACCACCACTATTCGAACAAACATAAACTTTAAAAGTAAAAAATATTATTAAAATAACTATCCATAAAACATAAACTTCTAGTATTAGAATTTTATTTATCCTTTTCTATCAACTACCAACCTGCCCAACAAATTTATATCAAACTGAAAAAAAAAACAACTATAAAATTTCCTTATTTTCTTACAATTTCAAGTAAATTTCTAGTATTTACCCTTCATTACCTGAAATATACTTGTAATCAACAGTATAGAAAATCACCCCACCATATCATTCCATCATACAAAAACAATTAGTTTTTATTCTAATTGTTTTTTGAATTAAAATTCATTCATACATTCGAATATTATAAATAGGGATCCAATAATATTGACTAATACTATCAATATTATAGAAAAATAGAATGAACAACCAGCTTCGGTGAGAATATTTTTCAGACAATGGATGCTTTTTCTCCTTCAGATCCATTTGACACATTGATATAAACATCGATAAAAAAAGAATCGATATTGTAAGAATGTTGTGTTTATCAAAACATCTTACTAGAACCATTTCCGATTTGGTAAATGTGAAGTTCTTCTACAAAAATATAATCACCATTTAACAAAGACAGTTTATAACTATTAAAACAGATGACCAAAATGTGGACATTTGTTAAAGAAAAGCAAAGAAGCATAAGAAAATGATGG